TTTCCCAAATTTCCAAATTTCCAAATCCTCAAATTCCCAAATTCCTAAAATCCTCAAAAATCGAAACACGAGAAGTCAATAAACAGCCATCTGTTCGCTTCGCACCACAAATGAGGAAGCAACCACAATAGTTGTAACAGTGAAGACGTCGAAGTGTCATATAGACAGTTATTGCTATATTTACGGAAGCCATTAACTCCTCTTTTCACGATTCAAAGACTTGAGGCTGCGTGACTCGAGACGGAACGAGAAGTCTAAAGAAAAATTCTGACGTTCGCGTGCAACGTGATTCGCGATGAAAGATGCTTCCTTTGGCCAAGAAAATGGCCTTCCCAACACTGCCGCAAGTTTTTGCATCGAAGTTTCCGTGTTCGGTTACATTCCGCATGATATTCACGCGTCGTCGGTGAAAATTTTCAACCGCGTCTATTGCATATCGACGAGAAACTTCTTCAGGCAACGTGATGTAAAATCTTTAAAAAACGAAACCTGGTTAATAAAATGCAATTTTTTATTAAATTGAAAGGAATGGTAGAGAAAATTTCAGTGTACGTGCGCTGTCGATTATATTATATATACATAATGTAATTGAAATTAAGAAATACAGAAATGAGGAAATAAATAGAAACAAAAATAAAGATGAAATTATACAAAATTCGTTATGGAACTATACGAAATTTGTTTATTTCGGTGTTTATGAAGCTGAAATTATACTGACTGTAGGAGCATAAGAATCTTCCTCAACAAGATGGGAACCAGATTCACTAGACATGAAAATCGAAGGAAGATTACTATAATTGGAACAATCATTGGCACGGAATTATCGAGTCGAGTCGTCGCATTAAGACATGATAGAAGCTTGATAGGAACCTGAAGGGACAATTAACTCGTAGACAAGAAAATGACGGTTCATGTTAAATATATCTAGAATCAAATACCTACAACGATGTATGAATTGCTGAATCATGAAACCATTCACATTTTCTCATTCATTGAAACAATTACTACTACCTCTATAGACGTACAAGATCATAGGAGAATATTTCTATTTCTATTTCTATTTCAATTTCAATTTCAATATTTCCGTCACTTGTAATTATCGATGAACTCATCAGAGGTACACAGGCTTTAATTTTCTGTCAATAGTAGAATTACGAAGATACATTATGTAATGTTCCATGTTCCCCCACGGATATTATTTCTGCAACGTTACCGTAGCACACCTTAATGCACAACGTTCATATACCTGTCGGTTCCGCTACCTAATCGTTTCACGAAATAATTCTACTTGTACATTACGTAACGGGGCTGTTATACGGACCTGAGGGAATGCACGTATCGTGAGAATGACTGACACGTAGTTGATTGGTGTTTATGGCGCATCTGCATTGAAAGGAGAATTGCGATTCGTTTCTGAGGCATAATACTGGCGATGTAACGATTGAACAAGGAAAAAGTGTTTTATAAACGGACGGATAACGGTACTACTTTTTATTCATTTTTCAAGGTTTTGTTATTCATTTTGCGGATTGGGACTTTGAGAAATTGGGGATTTGGAAATTTGGAGATTTAGGGATGTAGGGACTGAGGGATTTCAAGATTTGGGGATTTGGAAATTTGGAAATTTGGAGATTTAGTGATGTAGGGACTGAGGGATTTCAAGATTTGGGGATTTGGAAATTTGGAGATTTAGGGATGTGGGAACTGAGGAATTTCAGGATTTAGAAATTTGGAAATTTGGAGATTCAGGGATTTGTAGATGTTGGGATTGGGGGATGCAAAGATTCAAGAATATAGAGATTTGGGGGTTATCAAGATTTGGGGACGTCGTAATTCGGAGATATAGGAATTTGGGGATGTAGAAATTCGAAGGTATAGGTATTTGGGTATTCGGGGATGTAGAGATTTGGGGATCGTAGAGATTTGGGGTTGTCGAAATTCGGGGATGTAGAAATTAGGGGACGTAGAAATTCTAGGATATAGAAATTTGTGGACATAGAGATTCAGAGTGGACATAGAGAACATTAAAATTCCATATAATCAGTATAACTCATATAATTCCATATACATCAATATAACCAACAATATATGATAGTTCCATATAATCAGTATAACTCATATGATAATTCCATAAAATCAGTATAACTCACATTATAATTCCATAAAATCAGTACAACTCATATAATTCCATATACATCAATATAACCAACAATATATGATAGTTCCATATAATCAGTATAACCCATAATGGGTTATCAGTATAACCCATTAAAATTCCACATAATCAATATAACTCACATGATAATTCCATATAATCACTACAACCCATATGATAATTCCATATAATCAATACAACCCATATCATAATTCCCTATAATCAGTATAAAATTTTTCAAAAACATCCTGTACATACACATCCTCATCCTTGCATCATCGTTCAATGTCGATTACCCATACCATTACATAAAGCTCGCACGTTGGTGCACCAAGCGAAGATTTCTCTTCGTTAGCAAAGATTTTTCAACGGGTATCGAGTTCGCCAATTTTTATGCACCGTTGACTTCCGGTTTCCCGGATAAATCGGTCGCGCTTCGTCTGGCCGGCAAGTACGACCCCGGCGAACCGATTTATTTACCGTGACGCGTGTGCGTTGCGCGCGCCTCGGGGACACGACTGTGCGCCGCGACGCTTCGTGATCACGTTATTAACGAGACGCCGCCGTCGATTCGTGTTTATCGTATATCGGTTCGTGGCCGCACTCCATCCGAACTACTTAGTAAATATTTGCCGCAACAAGCAAGGTGGATCGATGCCAACGAAATTATTCACTCATTGCTTCTTTCGACGTTGTACAACTACATTCGCCGATAATAATTTCATTGTTCAGAGCATTCGATGCTATTAAAGCGAAACTGAGGGTCGTCGTGTTTCGTTGCTTCGTTGAAAATCAATCGTGTTTAACGAGATCGCGAAAATTTGTTTAACAAGCGATCGTTCGGGAATTTTCAATGTTTACGTTGTTTTGAAGTTTTGAAGTTTTAAAAGGTTTTATACTTTCAATTATTGGGGATTGTTTCAATCTTCATAAATTCAAAAATGTTATTATACTACAACATCCCCCAATACAGAAATAATTAAATAAAACCAATCTCATATCAACAAACGAAACGAGAATTTACAACTTTAATAATCAACCTATGCGATCTCCAATGAGTGTACGATACTCATATTAGTTATACGATGGTAAAATGCTTAAGGATATTATAATGGTAGTTTCGAAATTAATTGAGCGCCCGAGATTATCAGCCGGTAGTTGAACGAGCGTTTATTAACGAAGGAAAGAGAACAAAAATGTGAATTTCGAGGAGCAAAGTAATAAGCTTTGTTAGCCGTAACCAAGCACTTACGAAACACGTCCTCGGTGGTGTACCGTGTTATCGATCCAATGTTTACCGCCGATAATGAAACCCTAATTACCGAGAGACAATGCGCTTACACCGCTTTCTGTTCGTTAAGGACATCAAATGAAATCGATTTCGTACAAAGCGTTGATTTATCGTGGTATACTATTTCCTTTGTACATATTTACTTCTGTATTTCATTTCTGTTGTTCATTTCATCAACAATTTTACATTAAAAAATTGCTTGAAATAATAGAAAAATTTACACGATGATCAAAAATTTAAATAATGTAACATCAAAAATTCGAGAGATTAACTTTAATAGAGAATTTCGAATAAAAAAATTGCTTCAAATAATAGAAAAATGTACACGATGATCAAAAAGTTTAAATAATGTAACAAGAATCGAAAGTTTGAGAAATTAACTTCAACAGAGAATTTTTAATAAAAAAGTTGCTTGAAAGAATAGAAAAATTTACACGATGATCAAAAAGTTTGAATAATGTAACAAGAATCAAAAGTTTGAGAGATTAACTTTAACAGAGAATTTTGAATGAAAAAATTGCTTGAAATATTAAAGAAACACAATGATAAAATTTAAATAATGAAAACAAGAATCAGAAGTTGGAGAGATTAACTTAAAAAGTTTTCGAAATACCAAATAATATTTCGATAACAGTAATCAGAAGGCTTCAGGCTGTTGAATTATTGGACCCAAAAGCGGCAAATACCCGTGATAATTTTCCGAATCCATTAACCACTATGCATAATTATACATGCAAGCTCGAACCGTTCATTTGTCGCGTTATCAGCAGGTGCACGCCGTATTAACAATAAACGTCGAATTAATTTACTCTTGATCAATCATTGTTCGAAATCTCGATTAATACTTTTGTTGCAATTTTTCGGACATCGTTCGATTTAATACATTCTTGTGATTTACTAATCATATTGATGACTCGTATAATTCTGTACAGTATTCGATGAACATACACTGCATGCAAACTTTTGGAATGTTCGCCTTTGAGTGACACTTTGAACTGTTTTTGTTTGCTTCCTGAATGAACATTTTGTGTACATGTATTTTAAAATGTATTATGTGTAACGATAAAGATATTGTTCTAAAGGTATTGTTTATAACAGTACATCTTATATATATTATTTATAATGATATGTTTTAGACATGCAGTTTGTAATAATATCTTTTTAAACATTCATTGTGATCATGTCTTGCAGCCATTATTTATATTAATATCTTTTAAAAATATCATTTACAAGAACCTGTATATATATTATATAACAGACATATTATTTATAACAATATAGTCCAGTAAAATCCTTCATAACAATATGTTATGAATGTTTCTATTATTAATCATTTCTCAAAAATGAAGTAAAATTAATATTACAGATAGCTCATACACATAAACTAGTAAAAAGAACTGTAATAATTATTCATATATGAAACATTGAAATTTTACATGTCAATTACAAAATGTAGTACCAAATTTTGTTCCTAATTTAAGTACACGAAATGTTCATACTCAAATGCTATCTAGTTATAAATAAATTTAATAATTATATATATGATATGTGTAGTGCGTAGAACGCTGAAGAACGGCCTCTCGGAAGAGGAGAAGAAACACATCGCCGCCTACATCAAGGGCTACTGACTGTGATAAAAATCGAACCCTGAGATTCGTCCACGAGAAAAGAGGAAACAGATCATCGAGCCTTCGGACGTTAACGACACGGCCAGAATGTTGCGATTTCATCAAGGTGCCACCTACTTCATGTAAGAAGAACAACGGAATCGCAAACACACACCAAGGTTATACGTCAATAGAATTATATATATACATATATATATATATATAGATTTACACACACATATATATATATTTCGATCGAACTTTATGTATATCGAAAGACGTCGGTTTTATCAGGTTTGTCAACGACAAAAATCGAGGCCTTCGATTCTATTTTTCGAATTCATTGCGCGCTGTCGTTCGTTCTTTTTAACTTGTTGAATGCGTCCACAAACAACTTGTTCAGGTTGTTTCGAGGGTGCGTTTTTGAGTGAAAAATTGGTTTTTTATGGTGTATTTGTATTTTATTGAGGATGAGTAGTGAAGTGAAAGTTGTATTGGGAGATTAATTATTTTAGCTTTGTGTGAAATGTGTGGAGTATTGCACACATGAGGGTTTGAAGGGATACTGATGCAGTTCTATGTTTGAAATTTTTTAGTATTGTGCAAGGTATTTGAAGTCCAAGAGTCCCTTTCCAAATTTTGTTATTTAGAAATTACTGAATTATCCAGTCTCCATGTTTCTAAATTTCCAACTTCCTCAGTCCCCAAATTGCTGAATTTCCAACTTCCTAAATTTTCAAAATTTGTAATTTCCCACTTCCCAAACCCCAAATTGCTAAATTTCCAACTTCTTAAATTCCCAAATTGCTGAATTCCCAACTTCCTAAATTTCCAAATTTTGTAATTTCCCACTTCACAAACCCCAAATTGCTGAATTCCCAACTTCCTAAATCCCCAAATTGCTAAATTTCCAACTTTCTAAATTTCCAAATTTTGTAATTTCCCATTTCCCAAACTTCAAATTGTTAAATTTCCAACTTCTTAAATTCCCAAATTGCTGAATTTCCAACTTCCTAAATTTCCAACTTCCTAAATCCCCAAACTGCTGAATTTCCAACTTCCTAAATCCTCAAATTTCTAAATTTCCAACTTCCTAAATCCCCAAATTTCTCACTCCCCAAATTACCTAATCTACAAATTCCCAAATTATCAATTGTCCAGCAACCCAAATCTCCAAATCCCCAAATGCAAATTTATCAAACTTCCAAATCCCCAAATTGCAAAACTCCTCGATTCCACGCATTCAAATTTTTTCCACCATTACGGTGGACAACATGATGGAGTCTCACGACAACCATAACTTTTAATGTCACACAAAAACGCACCCTCAAGATTTTAACTATAATTCATAACTCTAATCGAACAAATCCTATCACCATGTTAATTTTAATCAAGTTAAACGAACGTATAAACAAAGTGAAACGAAGTTTCGCAACGTCGCCGAACAAACTAAATTTCTTTCCTCTATCGCCAGAAAATTGCATGTATAATTAAAAATATATCGATTGAGGATTTTCATCAAACTTCAAACAACAGATTTTCAGAACGGTCGACAAAGTCGCGTGCCGAGTTAATTAAAAGTCGCGGAATTAACGTTGTCAGGAAAAATTCGTCGCGTTTGTTTTTAACGAAGCTGTCATCGCGGTCGAAAACATCGAAAATTAATATTCGGGCAATTTTAATCTTGTTACGTAACGCTTTTGCCGAGATAAAAACGATAATAAATAATGAAGATCGAAGATTCGGGGAAGTCTCGTTTCGTGCGACTTCCGGTAAACTCGAGTGCGGAGGAAAGCTTACGGGTCAGCGTATTCGCGAGCGAATGCGGCAACTTTGAAACTTTATATCCTCTCCATCTTTCTTCCTGCGAAAAAAAGGAAACTTTCCAGATGCATCTTCCACGGTGACAGTCTCCTGGAAATAAATGCTCCGACACAAAATAGAGAACATTTTCCGGCGACGCTCGAATCAATTTTGTATCGAAGCGCGGAGAGACTTCTTTGAGCATTCGCGTAGATATGTGAACTCGAACGACAGACGATAAATGGACAATTGTATCAACACGTGCCTGAAACAGTTTTATCCGTCGATCAACGATTTATTTAACTATTTTATGTGACGTGTTAATTGCCGTGGGAGATTTGTGGGATCACATATTTTATAGAGTAATATACTATATGCAGTAAATACAGGAAAGTGGTTTTGAATGAGGTGGAGATGTTTGGGGAGTTCGTATAGTGGAATTTATGATATTTGTGGTGAGGGTGAACCATATTTTTAAATTCTTGAATTTTGAAATTTAGGATGTTGTTAATTTGAAGACTTGATGATCTGGAAATTTAACAAATTTTAAAATTTAGAGAATTCGGTGAATTCAATAAATTTGGAAAATTAGAAAATTTGAGAAATTTGAGAAATTTGAGAAATTTTGTGAATTTGGTAAATTTGGTAAATTTGAGAAATTTGAGAAACTTGAAAATTTCAGAAGTTTGAACTTTGAAAATTTAAGAGTTAAGAATTTGAAGAATTTGGACTTTTAGAAACTGGGGATTTTAGAATTCTGAGAATTTAGAAATTTGGGAGAAAATTTGAAATTATGAAAAATTCAGAAATGCGAAACTTCATAACTTCGACAAATTTGAAAATTTAAAAATTCGAAATTTTAGAAATATAGAAATGTTCGAATATTTCTTAATTCACAAGAAAATTTGAAATTTAAAAAATGAAAAGTACCAAACATTTAAGAACAGTAATTTTTACTACGGCAATTAACATGTTGATAAAGTCCCGACCATGATTAATTAATCGAATATCGCAAATGACGATCAGTCTCGAAATAAAATATTGTCTTTCATATGCCGTAAGATGAAAGAAATAGAATTGTGATCAGCAATCAATTCTACAGATACATACAATGTAGGTAATGTATTTCGATACCTAGAAAATTTATAAACGGTGTGATTTGTTCTGCGGGAGGAGCAACTTAGAAACTTAATTAATTTAATCATCACCTTACTATCGCGCGTCCCGTGTGCGCAATTATTGTAATTTTCTGCGAGAATGATTCTTGAAATAAATCTGAGAGCAGCAATAAATTAAGTGGTTTATTCATTTATTCCTTGTCTACTTACTTGTTTTTGTTTCTTTATTAATTTGATCAGGTAAGTTCTTTGTGAGGGACCTACAAGCTTTTTTTACCTACAAGGTATTTTTCAAATTTCCAAATTCCCAATTTCCCAAATTTCCAAATTTCTAATTTTCTAAATTCCCAATTTCCCAATTTCCCAAATTCCCAAATTTCCCAATTTCCAAATTCCCAAATTCCCAAATTCCCAAGTTCCCAAATTTCCAAATTTCCAAATTTTCAATTTTCCAAATTCCCAAATTCCCAATTTCCCAAATTTCCAAATTCCCAATTTTCTAAATTCCCAATTTCCCAATTTCCCAAATTCCCAAATTCCCAAATT